CAACTCGGCTGACGACCGTGCTGCATCTGGAAGTTGTTGCAAAGCAGTGCGAGTTTCTTGTGCCAAATGCAGTAAGCAGCGTGTTGCAATTGCAATGTGCGGCGCAGGTTTCAGCCCAAAGCTGAGTGTTGTTAATTTGAAAGTTTGAAGCTCATGGTGAGGCTCCTCCCTCCACAGAATGCATTGCAGAGGTTGTTGATCAGCATTTATGTGTATGCAACAAACACATAAATCCCACCAAAAACATTCTGTAAAAAACTAGCCAAGTCTCGATGGAGCTGCTTGTTTATCTCTAAAAAGTAATGAAATCTAGACAAAGTCGTGCCAAGTCTATGGTTCCTTACTGCGAATTCTTTATTATTATAGTTAATGTTGTGTGACTTGGCCGTATGGCTTATCGCACGGTAGCACACGCTGCAGCATGTGCTATTGCCGGAACCCCTCCATGGGAGTTGGAGGCTGGGGTCGTGACCGCCTTCTACAAATGGACGGCGGATCAGAGAGCGCGAGATGAACGCCCAGCCCCGGATGAGATAAACGCCGTAAGGCGTGAAGCTCGCGAGGCGATGTTCCGTCTGTGGAGAGAGGACATGGCCACAGCTGAGTTCGGGCGCCGATCATTGGACGCTCTGGGTCCGGTGATCAACCAGTGGGTAGAGCGGCCGCACGGTTTCCTCACTTACCGTATGGTGCAGGTATTATCCGGGCACGGTTGCTTCGGATCGTACCTGCATCGCATCGGGAGAGAGGAGACCCCGTCATGCCACAAGTGTGGCGCGGCGGCGGACACGGTGGAGCACACCCTCGCAGTCTGTCTAGGCTGGGAGGAGCAGCGCCGTGTCCTTTGTGCGGTGGTTGGCCAGGACCTCTCACTCCCGAGAATGGTTACCGCTATGCTCGGTGGCGACGAGGCCTGGGAGGCCGTTGCCTCTTTCTGTGAAGATGTCATTTCGCAGAAGGAGGCGGCGGAGCGGGAACGCGAGGACGACCCCTCTGCACCCCCGCTTCGCAGACGGAGGAGGGAAGTTAGAAGGCGGTTGTATGACCGTTCGCTTCTTCCTCCCCTTGGTGGTGGCCAGCCGGCTGGAGACGCGGGGGCGCCTCCTCCTGCATTGCACAGGCTACCACCGCCGTCGGACGGGATTGGCCTCGTGGTCCCGGCTAATCCTGTCGGCCCCCCATTAAGTGGGGGCGTGTTGGGTCCCGCCGTGTAGGGCGGGACGTCCGCGGAAGGCGCCTTGGTCGTTTCTAGTACCCAAGGCGCCGACCACTATGCGGCAGAGGGAACACCCCAGGTTTTTAGTGGGTTCGAGCCCCACATAACCTGCCGTCCCCCGGCGGTAGGTATGGATAGGCCATTTTCCTGGGTAAAAAAAAAAAAAATGTATGCAACAAAACATTTTACGTATGTCGGCGTTAATTACATATTTGTGCAATTGAAAACGTAATAAAATGTGATTTAGTGTATCCTGTTTGATTGTGCCCTTGTGCTATGATTGATATGTTTGGTAATCTTGTCCCACTTATTGTTGAGGGAAAAGGCCCTTGACAACTAACACTGTCTCCAGCACTCCATCCCATGATATATGCTGCAGCTACCATCAAGTAACATACGGATAGGAATATAATAGGTCTTTCTGGATATCTAAATCTATCTATGTCAATTAAAAAAGTTAGAACAGTAAATAAACAGCTCACAGTGCATAGTGTTGCCTAAATACCAATCCACAATCTTGAAAAGATTTTTTCATCCTGACTGAAAAACATGCCATTACATGGTGCACCACAATCATGTTCAATCTTATCTCCAACCTTCAGAGAATATTCCAAATCCAAACTCTTGGGTACTTTAAAATGTACAGGACAAACAAATCCATAATCTTTTGCACTATGCAGTTTAGTAGGATCCCTTTCAATATTCGATTTTAAATCTACTTTAGGTAGCTTGGTTTCTGTAGGTTTCTTTGATTTATGTGTAACATTATTATCACCAACACATATGACATTTTCATCTGTAGCAACCGGGAACCTTGAACATTCCAGATTCTCTGGCCATGGGAAGCCGTAGTCTATCATCAGTTGGTCGCAATTGTGTTTCGCGGATTCACATAAATGACGTCATGGCAGTATAGGAGTATCCAAAATTGTGCAAACAGGTGCATACACTGAACACAAGAAGAATTTGAGGTCTGGAGAACAATTTATTTTGATTAATGGTGTGAACTGATGTACTTCAGGTCCAGCATCTTCTTGTTTAGCATGATNGGGAACGCGAGGACGACCCCTCTGCACCCCCGCTTCGCAGACGGAGGAGGGGAGTTAGAAGGCGGTTGTATGACCGTTCGCTTCTTCCTCCCCTTGGTGGTGGCCAGCAGGCTGGAGACGCGGGGGCGCCTCCTCCTGCATTGCACAGGCTACCACCGCCGTCGGACGGGATTGGCCTCGTGGTCCCGCCTAATCCTGTCGGCCCCCCACTAGGTGGGGGCGTGTTGGGTCCCGCCGTGTAGGGCGGGACGTCCGCGGAGGGCGCCTTGGTCGTTTCTAGTACCCAAGGCGCCGACCACTATGCGGCAGAGGGAACACCCCAGGTTTTTAGTGGGTTCAAGCCCCACATAACCTGCCGTTCCCCGGCGGTAGGTATGGATAGGCCATTTTCCTGGGTAAAAAAAAGGCTAAATTACACCATATTGTTAATGACAATGAGCATTCATTTTTTTAAATACCTTCGCGAAGTAAAACTTCTGTACGTAGTACTTATTATTATTCTGTGGTATTACTGTTATTCTCTGAATCCATATCTAATGCAAATTGAACCATAATTGTAAGAGCATAATAATTTTATCGACCATGTGGATAAATCTACTTAGGTTTGAACAAAGTAAATGCTGTAGTGGAATCCCTTAAATGGTACTAAAGTAAAAGGTTTTTATTACTTTTCATAAGTTGAATATATCTTAACGTTTATGGGATGAGATAGGAAAAAATTTAAGATACCTACTTATTGTTTTCATAAATTCAATCTAAGGTTAACCTCGTGGCAATCATAATTAATATTGTCGACCACACTAGAAAATAGAGTACCTACACAAAAAGAAGCCAATGTTTATTTAAGTATAGCTTTGTACAAACATATCCCCAAACGCAAATTCGCGAAAAAAATGGTTTTTAATAGCGGGACTACTCCATAACGCGATTTCCATATTTCAGTCGGATCTAATTTGTTGTGGTTACTTATCCCGGAATTCCCTTTGAATGAACGGGATGGACAGCCCCAAAGCAATTATATTCGGGTACGGTTCAAAGATCAAGATTTGCAGAACATGTTTGCAAAGACCAGAGTAATAAATATCATGGCGGTGCAATCAGGGGAAAAAGTCAGTTCCCCGAAGTCAATAGGAAAAAGTAAAAAGAGTAAAATCCTGGGGCCCAATAGGTACTCACCGTCTCGTACCCTTCGACTGAGCAAACAATTGCAGGTCAATTGTAACTCGCGCCTACAAACCTCCCTTCCTCTTTGATAACCCAGGACAAAAACTACAGTTAACTCATTTTCATGAGAAACGATGCTAGTCATTTCACCAGCCACCACGTCACGACTAGGTATAAATGTAGGTTTTACTTCTGAAGTCAAATCTACAATGTAGATGTTTGCTTATTGATTGCTCACTGCGATTAGGTACCTTATCCTTTCTTGAAATACTTGAATATTCTTAACTTATGAGTAAGTTATACTCGTTTTAGAATAAATAAAATCATCATTTTCCGTTTGTGGAACCAAAAAAATCTATACTAATATTATAAATGCGAAAGTAACTCTGTCTGTCTCGCTTTCACGCCACCACTGAACCGATTTTGATGAAATTTGGCATAGAGATAGTTTGAGACCCGGGAAAGGACATAGGATAGTTTTTATCCCGGTTTTTGAAACAGGGACGCGCGCGATAAAGTTTTTCTGTGACAGACAAAATTCCACGCGGGTGAAGCCGCGGGCGGAAAGCTAGTATTTTAATATTATCGTTGCAAGATACGACGATTCGTATAAGTAGGTATCTTACGAAATTACTTTTGAGTGTGATTTTGTCTTGGCTCCAGCGATTCATAATATTAGACGCTGTTATTATTGTACTTACCTATTTATGTACATATGAAGATAAATATTGAACATGAATTACAGAGTTACCTACTCAATAGGTCTGTCTACCTAAGTATAGAGCTTTTGTCTTTTTCTGAGAAAGCCAGTTTCTACGAATATTCAGGTATTTAGGTGGGTTATTCTGTGGGCTGGCTGTTGTATTGCAATGTTTGAGTTGGCCCATCGGAGCGAGGACAAGTTTGGTTTGTTTAGTTACGCTCGGGGTGGACAATGTACTATACAATGTAAGTACACGTGTAGCCGCCATTGTGTTAACGAATGTCGCAGATAGCCTGATTTGTATCGGAAAGTGAAGGTCCACGTAAAGCTTGAGGCAAAGCTATAGATGTCGTAAAATCTTGTTTGGTTTTATTTCAATTGCAGAAAGCTGACATTTTAAGGCCCGATTCGACCAAATTTTTATCCGAGAATAACTCCTGTGGGTCTAGACAAAGTGCAAATTATAATCGCAAACCAGTCGAAAAGTGGTCGAAAAGCCCCTTTTTTGTATGGAGTTTTGACGGATTCGATTTTCGATTCGATCAAAAATTGCGTTTTGTCTAGGGGGGCTGGTATAACTGGCACATTGACAGTTTCAGTATGGGAAATATGTCTAAACTGACGATTTATTCTGAGATGAATATTTACTCTTGTTGGGTCGAATCCACCCTAAGGCATATAATACGGAATCAATTCCACCCACATTTTGCTTTATATTTCATGTCTAAATTTTCGTGTACATCAATCAGGATTCAAAGTTTTATACTTTTTACGTATACCTTAGGTAGATCTTAGTTTATTTTCGAATCGCGGTTACACTAGCTTAAGTGACAGGTTGTATAACTTTTGACTGTTGTTAAAGACTCACGTGTTCAGTGGTGACATCTTCCTCGCCGATTCCCGACGGCAGTTCCACCATCGTCTCCAGCCAGTTGCGGCCTGAAACAAATCATCTACATTAAAAATGCCTTCATCCGGTTTACATAATGTACATCATATACAGTGCGAGCGGCGCAGGACTGGTCTGTGGAAATCCTTGGGGGGAGGCCTTTGTCCAGCCCAGCAGTGGACGTTTTTCGGCTGAAACGAACGATTCAGTGTATATTTAGTAAACGTTCATAATTTATGGGATTAAAGGTACGATTTCGTAGCTGACTGCACGCAGTAGCAGCAGACGACATGTCGCCGCGACACGTTACTTTCTATGAAATACTTTCAGACGACGTCTCGCTAGCAACGAATGCTTTTCATAAAAATACATAGAAACTAGTAGTGTCACGACGACACGTCGTCTGCTGCTGCTGTGTGCAGTCGGCTTCGAAATCATACCTTATGAGTCATCACCAATGACAGCATGTAATCTAGTTACCAAAGTAAAGTGAACTTCCTGTAAATACTTTGTGCTCTTAAGTGAATTGTGCACACAAATTACTTTTCAGAATTATTTGCCACGCAATTTCCTTATTGCTGTGGCACTTCCCTTTTACCCTTTGATGCGGAAATTCCTTGAGATTTCCGAGAAAAGTTTTCGTAGAGTCGATCTATTACAACACTCAGGAACTTTGAGAGTTGTAACACAATGGTGCTTGATAGAAAAGGTCTGCAGTGAACAAACTTCTAGTTTTAAAAGCACTTTTACACGTCCCAATATTAACCCTACCACTGCTTCGGGACAATAAATGGGCCAGTGCTGAGAAGAAGCAGCGCAAGAAACTCAGTCACTATTATTACTAGGCTAAATTCTAAAGTAACACTGTTTGTCTGCTGATACCTTTTCACGCTGAAGCCTCTGAATCGATTTTGCAAACATAGTTTGGGACCCAGGAAAAACATATGCTAGTTTTTACCTCTATTCACGCGGGTAAAACCCTGGGCAAAAACTATTTTAGAATAAAAGATACTTACCTATATCACAGTTAGTTGAAACAATTTTATCTGAATCATTTTGAAACAACGCTTTTTCCCTAGTTAAGAGTAGGTAGTTGTTCCAAAGGCATTTAGTCAAAACCTAGTTTTAACTTGTTTTCACTAAAACGGGTTTTAACTGTGACACCTATACTATGTAGTCATAGTCATAATGAAACATGTGCCAAAAAGCGTATCCTCAGTATTAATCGTGACAGGCTAAAAGGCATTGTCGCTCAGAGTCAGTTTCAGCGTGTCCTGTCCATTCATTACGGTTAATGCATTCCATATGAAAAATGTTGGCAGACAATGATACGTCAGAATGGACGAAATAAAAGCGTGGATTTGTCGGGCTTTCAAGTTGAGGTGTAACGAGTGACATGGTGTTATATTATATCGTGCTACGAAAACTAGGACAACTATGGCAATTGGATCATTCGATGCGCTGGCAACATATGTAGAGACCGCGCGTGTTATAATAAAAAGTATTCAATATATTTTGCGATATGTTTTTTATTAGGATGTGGCCCTTAGGCCCAGAAAAGACGGTGAAACGCAACTGGAACGAAACTGCAACTGCTAGTTACTTTTGAGTTGCATCTAAGTTTCTGCCATAGCGTCCGTTGAGAGACCACACATGACGCGACCAGTTTGAAACTTTCAGTTTCAGTTTCATTCATCAGAATCATCACAAAGTTGCAGTTTCGTTGCAGTTGCGTTTCACCGTCTGTTCTGGGCCTTAGTCTACAATCCATGGAACCATGATATTACATAAATGTTCGATGCATTAATAGGCTTTATTGGTAGAGTTTAGATACGATGGATCCTTGGGGTAAAATCGCGCCGTTCTTATGTTAGCGATGGATTTCCAACAAAGTAATGATGACATGTTATTTTTCGAGTAGCCTGAAATACATGAAATAGTCTAACTAGGTTTATCACCCGCCCCAGTGGTAAAGATAAACACTCCCACACCCTCCATTGTACGCTAAACTGCAATTTTACAACTTTCGTTTTAATATTAACTTGGTACTTCTTTGAAGGCAGACGACGCGACGCAATGTTGAAATGTAGTTATGAAACTTTGAATGCAAACACGTGTTTACACTCAAACTTTACATTTTGTTTTGTAGAGTAAAGCAACAGTAGTACGAGTATTAGGTCCGGCATTTATAATGTGTTTTCAAAATATTTATCTAGACAATTTTGATGACGAAACTTCAGTTTTCCCCACAGTGTGTTTTTACCGTAATAGGCTAGTTGCCTAAAAAAATTTTTTTAGTCCGTAATGTTTAATATCAAAAAATATTGGACACATATATTTTTGATTGTCAATCTAACAAATAATTACATAGTTATGGTGCGTTGAAGTTGCGCACGACGTCACAACGTGCGGCATTTTTAAGCAAGCGTTGACGTCACGGGCCTCTTCTTATGAACTTTGGGGCGCTTTATCTCTTTAAATTTTCATTAGTTTGAAAAAGTGAAAAATACGTGTAGATTATTTTTTGATAAGTTAACTGACGGACTAATTAAAACTCTTGCTTTTTGACCCAGGCAACATCCCCATTTCCTAATTCGAAAAGGCAATATGATATCGCCTAGAAATACAATGCATTGACGATTTTTCATAAATATGTTATCCCCGACAAAGGGAAAATTCCGCTTCTTTCAAATTATATCAAAACATATGCTGTGCACACATATGGTAATGTCTCTCGAAAATCGCGATATTGATTTTTACGACATCACATTTCTTTGTAGCAAGTGGCACATAAATATTGGTTTCCGAAATCGCACCGGCATTCACTGGTACGGTCACAATCGATTAGGGCATTGCGGTGAACCTCACCACATCTGAACTAACATTTCGGCACAGTTTACCTAATTTAGTTACTATTTAGGTAGCCTCCATAACCACAGCTAAACACCGTTTGTTCTGTTTGTGTACTGCGGTTGTGCTTAGTGAGCATTAGGCTTTATATTTATATTTTTTAGGGATAGTACATTAGTAGAGCTACCTCCCCTAGCAGTTTGATTCACCCATTCTGGGACACCTTGTATGTCCAACAGCAAACTGTTATTTGAACTTGTTAAAAGCAACATTTGTCAAACATTAAAATTTATTTTAACGTTTTGCAGAAGTTGTGAAAAGTAGAGTATTTTCCATTAAGATAAATCCCTCGCTGCACTCAGGATTCAGTTTTTAACCTAGAATCCTACGCTACATTAAACTCGGAATTCAAGATGGCACCTGTAACCTAATTATACCCTTAATGCACAAAGCACAATCTACTTAAGGTACAGTAGATACAGGTATACGTACAAACGTTGTGCTCATAGTACTTAGAAAATTCATTGTTATTTATTAGGACTTAAGCTTCTTATTGGTGTGGACCAATGCGTGCAAATCGCCATCGCCGCCGGCGCGATCAAAGGCGAATGACAGGTCGCGCGACCCATGACAGTTCACGCGACCTGTCATTTCCCTGTGATCGCGCCGGCGATGGCGATCAGTGTGCCTACCATGAGTTTACGTTAGGTGTGCTCGCTAGCGACTGCGTAAAAAAATGACATTTAAATGTATGACATTTTGTGCAGCGCCCCTAGCGACTACTTTCAAGAAATAAAATCTTCATAGAATTTTTTGACGTATTCGCTAGCGAGCTCACCTAACGTAAACTCATGGTAGGCACACTGCACACGTTGGTTGGTGTGATTGAAGCATTAGGCACTTGCATAGTTTGATATGAGGAAAATGTTATACTCGATGCGTTATTTTACGTCAATTCAAAATGCGTCAATATTGTTATTCTATTTTATTAAACAAACTATACCTATAGCAGTTGTTAATATTGGACAGGATTACAGCCTGAACTTTCCCGTCGATAGCTGTTAGCTGTCTCTATGTACCTAACAAAATATTGTCTTTTTCCTTATGAAAAGATAACAAACAAGGAAGGAACAACAAACTAGGAACTGATAACAGAGATCTCACTAATTAAAAGACATAGCCACTAATTAAGGAACTATCTATACCTTAAAATATGTACCTACCACCTTTACGTGAGAATTTTTTTAGCATTTTTGTACAATTTGCTCGTATATTATGTTAAAATTCAATGTTCTATTCTACGTTACTAATAGTACCTCATTAAGTGGTAATAATTAACATAAACTAAAACTATTATTATACATATGTACGAGTATATGCTATATTCCGGCAACCCAGCGTGTCACGGCGACTCTTCCTCTGTGTACCTTACTACAAAACCCTAAAACAACTTGGTTGTTTGTTTCCAAAGACTAATAAAACCGAACATAAAAACAGAAATGGCTGTAAAAACACTTATTTTGCAACAATTCATCGGCATTACCGCGGTTATACAACGATTTAGTCGCCATAAACCGATTCGACCGCACAAAAAATAATATTGGCCACCAGATATTTATGGTGTTTGTCTGTTTTCGCGTAAACCGAGTGAAACATTACGCTTTTATAGGTTGATTGATGTCCGACAACTCGATTTACAATGTTGTAAAAGCTGTAAAATCATGTATGGTTTCATAATGGATTTTCGGTTGCTACAACAGCAGATTTTACATCCGTTTGTTGGTAAAATATGAACATTCTAGTGTTATAAGTATCTAAGTTTCAAGTAATAATTGAAATAAGGAAAAAGCTAATTTTAACTTTCTCCTTAATCCTGTTTTCACCGGTTGTTTTTTGTGTAACGTAAAACAAATATAATTAATGCTAAATATAGACAGAGCGATCAAGAACAGAGCGATTTATATCCAAATACTTTTAAATCCATCCGCTTTGTATCAATTCAAAGGGCATCCAAATTTAAACTTGGTGGAAACGAGTCTCGAATTCTTTTCGCCTTTTATAAAAAAATATACGATTCATTTTTAATTACTTAACTACGTTTTACCAATTCGGACGTTAATTTTACCTTAAGATTTAAGATAAATATTACAATTAGATTAATATTACCATTTGTTATTTCCTTGTGTACGTGTTTGTCTTG